CACACACACACACACACACACACACACACACACACACACACACACACCCCTAACCATAGGAAGACCAACAGGCTTGGGGTCTAGGCAAAGGTGCTAACTGTGAAGAATCAGATGCATTGTTGGAGCTTTATGTATAGAGCTTGCAAAGTCCTTATCCTGCCCTGTGCTTGACTCTGGTCAGTGCTGAGAGTTCATCATGTCCATCAGTGCTAAATTCACAGGAAATAATGAACAAAACCAAACAGAGTGGCGGGGGGGAAGGGGTGACCTAAACAAAAAATAAATTATGAGTTTCCCTTCTCCCTTGCAAATAATTTTCCTGCACAGGCATTCTTTTAGAAAATTATTGATCTGATCCTTGGTCTCCTTTCCTCTGCCCCCTACACCTGACATAAGTAGCTATGTGGGGATTTCTTTTAGGATATGTCTACAATCAAAAGTGTGATTGAAACTTGTGTAGGCATACCTGCATTAGCTTTAATCTAGCTACCACAGCTAAAAACAACCGTGACGATGCAGTGGCATGTGTTTCAACGCTGGCTGTACAAGCCCACCCCATAACCCTGAGTACACACTCAAGTTGTTAGCCTGTGCTGGTATCTGTGCTTCCATATCTTTGCGGCTATTTTTGGCCTGCTAGCTAGATTAGAGCTAGTGCATGTATGCCTACACGAAGTGCAGTCACACCTCTGATTACAGTGTAGACAACGTAAGAGGAACGACTGGGTGCCTTGGAGACAATGTTGCCTGCCCTCTGCCCGCCCTTTTGCGTAGTGGTTGTGATTAAGGGGAGGAGAATGCAGTCAGGTCATGATTGCTCTTTTGTGATCCCTGGCTGTCCGAAAGCTCTCTTGGATGTTGTTGCACCTAGGTATATCACTGAGGCTGCTATACGTTGTGGCAGGGGCCCAACCTACCCTTGGTCAGCATCAGGAGCATGAAGGAGCAACCTCACCAGCGTCAGTTGGGTTGGGCACAGCAATAGTACAGCTGAGGATCCTGCCTGTATGTTAGCATGAGATTTGTGTGTTAAATTTATTAATTATGCTATTTTTGTAATTAAAGAAAATAACGAAACAAATGTGGAAGAAGGCCCAAGAATAAAGCAGTTCAGAATGACCTCAGGGATCTCCCTTCTTGAGCGATGGCAGATCAGCGGCTTTATTAAAGTTGATGGACACTATTGCGCAGCACCAGCTTCTGTATGCTTTGACAGCAGACGAAGCTCCTGGTTACAGGGCCAGCTGCAAGTTATGAAAGAGAAGGGAGGTTAAGTTTCCAAAAAGAAGAAGAGAGGAACTTATTACAGGGGATGGGTCTCACTTCAAAAATTTTTTTTGAAATCTTTAGTGATCAGAAGAATTTAGCAACCATAACTTTTGATACTTTCTTTTGTTGCCTGTTATTTCATAGACTACATAAATGTGCTGAAGAGCAATGTATTACTTTTGAAGTTACAAAAGAAGACTGGCAAAAGGGATACTTTAGCTCCCTTAACTGTCATAAGAAGGGCTTTCTAATAGTGAATTCTCTCTCATGTAAGGCTTAGAGCTTTTGCTTCCCAACCTGTTAGATCTCTCTTTTTTAATTCGTATTAGGATACCTTATTAATTTTGTGAAGTAGTTCAGTACAAAAACCAAATAACAATCCTCACCAGCATTTACCAACTTGAGATAGGTGTGTGTATGTTTGTGCACACACCCAAATATAGAATTGTATTATATTGTGTTTAGTGTCTCAGATGTCACTCCCGCATTGTTATAGTATGTACAGTACTATACTATGGCAGATTTGCACTAGGCACAGCAATGATTTACTTGTCAGCCTAACCCTATTGATCTGGGTAGCCAATTTTGGTTAAAAGTAGAGATACTATAATAAATATATTAAAAGTTTTATCGGATGAGTACATGTGCTAAATATAATCACTTAGCTAAACTGATGAACACACGTCTATGCTATTTAATTACTATATTGACAGTGGTGCAGACACACAGGGATGCATGTCCTACAAGTGAAGATAAAATATTTATTCCGTTTCATCTCTGCTGTAATGTATTGATGAAAAACATGATAATTTTGATTCCAGGAATAATATAACTTCCCAACTAGGATTGGGTACGAATAGAAATACAACTATAGGAACGTGTCTGCCTGGATGGAGGTAATACTCATGCAGTTGTGGACAAGATGCTCTGTCATGCTAGGATCTCAAGAACGAGTAATTGTGTATAGTGGTTCCAGGAGTTATAAAACAATGCTAACCAATCAGCATTTCCAGCATCGCAACACAATTTCTAGAAGGATCACCTTATAAAGAAGGAAATTCAGGGAATATTAGTGGAGGTAAAATATGGCTCCTTAAAATGTTGGTGAAAAAGGTTATCAAAATATTCCTAGCTCACTGGCTACATCTGCAGTCCAAAATATACAACCCTTTGATATAAACTAGTGATGTCTACTACACAGGACACTTCTCATGAAAGTCTCATCAGGTTGCAAATTGGCAACACCTGACTTGTGATGAAGTAATGTGTACAGTACTGCCCTGCTATACTAGAGACTTGAATTTAAGACTTGGGACTCTCACTCCCTGTATCTTGGGCATATAGATTACAACCCATTCAGTCTTTGAGAGCAGTTGCCAGCATTCTTGCTCCGTGTTTGCCCTTCTGTTGGTGGTACAGAATATGCATAAGATGGGCTGGAGGTTGCACTTTATCCATATACTTAAATGTAGTAAAATAACATTTTCTTCAAGACTCAGAAATTTTCCCTAATTCAGATTCTAGTAGCTGATGTTAAAGATGCATATACAATTGCCAAAAATAATCTTTGTAAAAGCTACATGAATGTGCAAGAGTGATCAGGCAAAATGTCTAGTGCACGCAGGGACTGGACAATATTCTCTAATTTTATTGCAGCTGAGCACATTTTTTCTCTATTATTATGTTGCTCAGCTTAATCTCTTTCAGGTTCCGAAGAATGGTTCATCAAAAACTAGTTTTGGACTTTGGTTAAGAAAGACTTACTTGATGTTGTTTCAGGTTTATAGTCTAAGGAATTGTGATAAAACATTAGAAGGTTAAATCCAATCAATTGTTAATCTATCACTTAATAAATTGTAAACACTATCTTGGCACCAAAAAGTTGGGAAATTGTCAGTTTTTTACCACTTTAAGCAGGTGAAAGGGACATTTATGTTGGTAGACATTTTATCTTATCCAAGACAGACATTCTACTGTGACAGCAATATCTCTTATAATAGCTTCCAGCATACCAGATCTCGATCTAAAAAGCTTAAAACTCCAGAGGACGAGAGAGAATCAGCTATGATCGTTGGTGCAGAAATCATAGCCACTGAAGCAGCTACAGATGGCTTCAAGGTCAATGAAAAGCCAGAAGAAAAAGTGAAGCTGGTAAATTCAGAAGTGCCTTCTGGGGAAGAGAAAAACATTAGCAGAACGCAGCTGGATCAGCATTTATTGGATAATATTGAGGTCTCAGGTGAGATAAGGACTGATTATGTTTCACTTGTAAATTTTAGGCTATTGATATTACGATGCCATAAATCTGAGAATGATAAGGCAAATGTGTTGCTCCAAGTGGCATAACTAAAAATGCCTATTCATAAAGTTTTTATGCAGGGAAATCATGTAAGCAGGAGCATCACATGGTATTTTTATGTGATAGGAGCAAGAGCACAACCAATTTAAAATATTGAGCTGAGAGCAAAACAGGTAAAATTATTTTTACTCATTTATTTTTAAAAGAAAGGAACCTCCCCTCCAAAAAAGCACAAATGTTTTTAAATGAACTCCTTCCATAGATTGGCACATTGTAGTGAATGAAAAACTTGTCTGGAAAATGATATGAAGTACCTTATCCACTGAGAGAGACTGTACAGAATATATAAACTTGAGATGTACTGCTTACATTTACAAGCAGAAAACAAATTGTGTATAATGTTAGAGAGAGTCTTAGTTTTCCTTGTGCACAAAATCCCCCACTTCCAAGTGTACAAGTTCTATTACCTAAGCTACACTAGAAGTGTCTGCTAGAGAGCATGCTCACTATGCACACGTTACATACGCCGGTGCCAGCCCAGCATATTTCTACTTACCCTGCTTTGATACTGATATCTTTTCTGAGATTCATTCTCTTGTTAACTCTGAATTTCACTGTGGGCAAGGCATAGTCTCACACTCCTGTCCAGAAGGGAGCTTAGGCCCCAGTTAAGCAAAATACTTGAGCACATGCCTGACTCTAAGCACATGATTAGTCCCTTTGTTTTCAATTTGGCACCAAAACTGTTTTCAGGAATGAAGGATATTACCCTTACTGGAAATACCATCCTTGTTGAAATGTACGAACCAGAAGCTGTAGGCATTGTACAATTCCCAGCACCAGACAGACGACAAGGTGAATTGTCCAGTTTTGACTTCAGTAGGACTACTCATGTGCTTAGAAGTAAGCATGTGCATACTTTGCTGAGTTGGGACTTTACAATATCCACCCCTTTGCCTGATTTTCAGAAGTACTGATCATTTGCAATCCCATTGACTTAAATAGAAGTTGGGAGTGTTCATCACTATGGAAAAAACAAGTCCCTACTTAAGCGCCAAGGTGAAATACAAGCTTTGTAAAGTAGAGCTCAGTCCATTCTTCTTTTCATAATGAAAAGATGGAAGATTGGACCTTTGTAGAGGGAGCCTTGTGGATGTGACAGCCGGGCTATGTTGTTACGTGTATGGTGCTGGTAATTGGTGCCTGCAACCTCTGGCTGATACATCCCAACAATTAATTAAAGAAAATATACTTTATATCTGGAAGTTCTGCATTGATATCAGCTGGGACTACTTATTGGTAAATTCTGCAACCAGATAGATGATTTTAATATTCATTGTATACTGCACATGAAATTAATCTTTAGCAGCATTGATGTACAAAATTATTCACTGTAATTTTTGGTGATTTTTATGTCAGTGCTGCTATTTGCAGACAATTCTTGATATTTCTTATAAATATATTTTCCGTATTTTAAGTCATTATTTCTTGTTTACTGACAGATTTTCACACAGGCATAATAGGTGTAAATTTGGAGTATAAAGTTCAATATGCCAACCTTTTACAATGGTTATTTCAAGTAGTTAAATTGCTTGTAGGCTGTCAGAATAATCATGCCAAGTGCATATTGATAATTTCAACTGATACAAAAATGCTTTTTCTAGTTGTTCAAATTGAAAATGCCAATAGAAAGAAAAACAAGACGTAAAAAAAGTTTTACACTCTCAACTCAATATGCTATTACTTAAATTATTCTTTGATAAAACATATCATTCTACTTTTTAGTCTGGCCTTTTGTTGACGGAATGCTAGACAGGATTTCTAAATGAGAATCAGAGTTATGAAACTGGTCTTCAATTCAGACTGCTGTGAGAATGGTATAGAACAGTGGTCCCCAACGCGGTGCCCGCAGGCGCCATGGCGCCCGCTGGGACATCTATGTGTGCCCACGTACTGGCCGGCGGAGAAGCATCCGCCGAAATGCTGCCGAGAAGCGGCAACGTCAAGAGGCGTTGCCGCTGAAATGCTGCTGAGAAGCAGCGTCATCAAGAGGCATCGCCGCCGAACTGCCGCTGATTTTCGGCGGCTTTTCGGCGGCGACGCCTCTTGACGTTGCCGCTTCTTGGCGGCATTTCGGCGGATGCTTTTCCGCCGGCCACGGTCCTCGGTGGCTCGTCGTCCGATGCCCACCACACCGAAAAGGTTGGGGACCACTGGTATAGAATAATAATAATACAATATGAAATTTATTAACAAACCCATATTTTTGATACCTAGGGAACATCTGTTCAAACTCACTTTTCAGCCCTACTCCTGTAATGCAGAAAATTAAAACAGAAGATGAGGACAAGGAAGATTCCAGTATTGCTTTCTTTACACCTAAGAATTCTACACTCCCCATACCCACATCTGTTAGTTGTATAAAGGAAGAAGACGACTCTTTAAAATCTCAGAATCAGTCTGTGCAGGTTGAAACATGCCAGAAGTCACCTGGATATGCTTCCTTTGAATCGGAGAGCCTGGAAAAAGGGGAAACGAATAGTGTGTCCACAGAGGATGATGTCAGCGACCTAGAAAGCAGTGAAAGTAGCGAAAGTGGCTTGGAACCTGGAGAAATACCTGCCGTAAGAAAAAATACATTGAAAATACCCATTGTATATGAAACCTATTGCATGGTGGTTTTAATTTATTCATAATCAAGGGCACAGACACATGTCGAACAACAGCAGGCTACTAACCAAAACCTGCTGAACTTTGTGTGTAAGTCCCATTGAGTTCAGTGAGACTTGAACACATGCTTAAAATGAAGCATGTGCTTAAGGGCTCTCCTGATTAGGGATGATTTCCTGAATTGGGACAGAATTTTATTGCAGCTTACTTGATAATTTTTTTTCTTTTCCTATTTTGGATATCTGGTAATCTGACAGTAGGTAGGCAAGTCTGAATTGTCGGACGGTATAGCTAAGCCCCTCCCCTTTTCACTAACTACCAGAGTGGAGGACTCCCCCCGCTATAACTATACTAGGAAACTTAGCTAAAGCCTTTGAAATAAACTAAAAATAGAAAAGAAAGCATCCCATGAGAGCAGACGTGGCCACTACTATAAGATATTCAAGTGTGAGGAAAGAAACTTTTTACATATTCCAAGAACTGAGGAAAAATACCAATCATTTACCATGAGTCAATACCCTAAAATGTGTTAGGAGGATTGCTGGTTATTCAGAATAGGTGGATAGGAGGAAGGAAACTCACAGGGATACCACAATCAAATTTTTCTTCTCCTGCTATTGGAAAGTCTGGCAGTCTGACATGGGGATATGAACAGCAGTAAATAATCTCATGGTAAGACAAGTGATTTGAACTTGTCTGCCTGTGGCACATAATAGTTTAGTCTCCTAAGGGCTGTAATACTGTCATCTGTTTTCAGTTGTTAGGTTTAGTGTGTGGGTTCTGGTTGGTGTTGGTGGCCTGTGATATATAGAGGCTTAGACTGGATGATCTGATGATCCCTTCTGGCCTTAGACTTTGTGTAATTATACACTGTATTTACAACCACTAGCGAGGATGCTTAGGGAGGCAATACAGATTGTATCACCTTCCTACCAAATGTTGAGGGTTGGCAGATGACTAAAGATAGACCATATAGTAGCTGGCAAAAGTATGTTCTAAAGACAAGGTCACAACCTTGCAGATCTTTTCATAAAGGCTTGAGATCTTACCACTCCAGAGACTGCGTGTGACCTAGTGGAATAAGCCATGACATTGTTTGGTGGAAACATGTGTGGCTTTATGTACTTTGGCAAAACATGCTTTGATCTATATGGCAGTTGAAGTATTTGAGGCCTTCTCACCATTAACATCTGGATAATAGCGGATGAAAACATAACTTGACTTCCTGAAGGGTTTAATACATTAGATGTAAATCTTAATGGCCCTATATTCATCTAACATATGCTTTTTTCCCCCCTTCAGGTGAAATGGATTTAACAGAAGGAAGGTAGTGCAGTTTCCTGAGCTCTGTGGAAATTAATGTTTTACTTAGGAATAAGTGGAGGAAGAGAGAGATTAGTACCCTGAATACTAATTTAAAGGCTAGACAGGAAATCTGTGTACCAGAGGAGGTTGAAGGAGTTCAGCAGTGTGTAGAAAATGTGTAACATTGGGGTGAAAAGGTAAAGATCTTGGTTTGTTCATGGTGTTAATATGGACTGCTAGAAATTGCTGAATCTTGAACTAAAGAGCAGATCTGTTTAGCTCAGCTTCAGGATAACCTCGTGCTTTTAGAACTAGGAGTCCTGAGTTCATTCCCTGGAAATGAACTGACCAGACAAGTCATTGCAACTGGTGGGCGATTCAGGGATTTGAAGTACTGTGACCTCTGAAGGTTGTGATGAGCTTCCCCACATTCATCAAGTATATCTTTATCCCCCTCTAGTGGATGGACCACATAAAGGAGTGTTCATGAGTTTGCTATTGCCTCTGAGCTAATGGACTGGGTCCTTTAGCTCAGGCAATAGTGGTTCATGCATTCAGATTGAGCGATCTTGGTTTCAATCCTCACAGACGAACCGACCACAGGTGTTGTTACAGAAACAATATTGGACCCATTAATAGTGATAGAAACTTGGAAAACCATGCAGTCTTTGGAAAGAACAGCAGGGTACTGTAGGCTCCCTGTAAAGAGCCAATGACTTTGCATTAACTTTATAATTTCTGCGTTGAATCTGAATTTCCTTCTGAACTACTTGGGGGCCTTCAAATCCAATGTTGCTCTGTGAGTCCTGTCCTCTTGAGAACATTGCAGAATAGAGAGTACATTACCTTTTAGCATTTGAAAGATAGAACGGGCTCTGTTGCCCCTATTTGGAGATAATGACAGATGACTTCTTGTGTAATCTGGCACATCAGTTGATTTTTGGATGTTGGGGGCTTGATGAATCTGTTCCTGGGAAGAGTTCAGTTCAACTCAGTATCCATTCAGAATTAATTCTATAACCTAACCTGTTTAAGGTAGATCAATAGTGTGCAAAGTTTTTGGGGTCTTCCTCCTATTTTGTCCTGGGCCTTATACATGTGGACCAAAGAGTCTGGCCATTATTCTTAGAGGTGGAAGAAGGCATAGAGGTAAATTCAGATTTGCATCTCCTGATATGTCTCTTACCAGCTATTGTCCATCATCCACCTCTATTATTATCTATCTCTGTAGAAGTCAGAATCTCTTCTTTGACAGCAGGATGACCAGCCCAAAGGGCTGCCTGTTTCTACTATCAGGACAAAATTCCCTTCTGTTCTATCTCATAGAAGGAAGAGATTTCTTACCTTTGCCAGAAGTTTCCACCACTACTTTATCACCACTCCCCAAAGAACTTCACTTTGAAAATATTGAGGTACCCATCAGTTTGTCTTGTAAATCTCTTCCTGATGCTCTTAAACTAATCCATGTATGTGTGTAAGGGTACGGATTCACCCCTGCGGCACCCCCTACTGGTTGCTTTGGGGAATCAGCTCGTCCAGCGTCTGGAGCGCCCTCTGCAGGCCGCCTGTCCTCTTCTGGCCCCCGTGTCCCTCCCAAGACCCGGTGTCCCTATTACTGGGATGCTGCCCCCTGGCAGTACCCCACAGATCTGGGTCTTCCCTCCCTGGGGAACCCCCACCCACTATCCCCACCTTGCCTCAGTACTAGGCCACTGCCAGTCACCAACTAGCCCCCGCTCTGGGGCAGACTGCAGTATAGGCCACTCATCACTGGCAAGCGGGGGTTGGACTTGCTGCCTTGGCCTAGCCCTGGGCTGTCCTCTGCAACCCCCAGTACCTGTTGGCCTTATACTAGGCCGCAGCCTGGGGCTTTCCAGGCTGGAGCTCCTCAGCCTATCCCCAGCCCTGCTCCACTCAGGTACCCTACCTCTAGATCCCTGCAGCCACCACCCTTCTCTCTCTAAAGGTAGAGAGAGACTCGGCTGAGTGCTTGGCTCCCTGCCTTCATAGGGCCTGCTGAGTCTGTTTGGGGCGTGGCCCCAGCTGCAGCCACTTCCCCCAATCAGCTCAGCCTTCACACTGCCTGCTCCCTTGGCTATCTCAGGCCCTTCCAGGCAGGAGCAGGTGTCCACCCTGCTACAATGTGTGATGGTGTTTAAAGTCCTGGATCTCTCAGAAAATCTTCAGAGTAGCTAAGGAGGCATCTGCAACAAAGGATGAAGCAAGGGAACAAGCAATTCTTGTAGAACTGGGAAGAGTTTTTTGTCTTTGGCTGGTGGTTAATCAGTTAGGTTATTTGTCCAATACTGAGAGGGGCCTTCAGTAGCACGTAACTAGGGCAGAAGCTGTCAGCATTGCACAGGAAGCCCCAGAGTTTTTTCTCAGAAAGTCCTCAATCCTTTTGTCCGTAGCTATGAAGTCCTCCTCTGATGGAATCAGTGTTTCCATAAAAAGTGCGGCAACAACTACATCCCCTTTTGAAAATTTAAAGTATTTGGATTATGTTTTGGAAAAGAGTAAAATATTGGTATGTGATCATTAAAGTGTCTGGACTGATTAGACAACTCTCATTCCAAATTAGCTGTATCTAAGGGCTTGTTTTCACTACTGGGGTATGTTAACCTAAGTTACGCTACTCCAGCTACATTATTCACGTAGCTGGAGTTGACATAGCTTAGGTCGAATTATCCGACTGTCTTCACTGTGCTGTATCAATGGGAGAGCAACTTACCTAAATCTTCTTGGGGAGCTAGAGTACCGGGGTCGACCGGAGAACGCTCTGCTGTTAACCCCTGCTGCATCGATTGCAGCAGAGTCGATCTCCCCGTAGTGAAGACAAGCCCTGAGATTCTTTCTCAGAGGAATACACATTATTCCTTTTGTCCATTGAGAAAATACTATGTTATCATTTCACTAGCTCTGTGAGCAGGATTTTCCTCAGGTTTGTCCAATTGTGGGACAATGTCCATTGATTCTTCGTTGAGTGCTTGTTCATGTCAATTCCAATCAGGGGTTCGCGTGCCGCATGCACGACAGCCGGAAGATATTCCCCTAGCAATATCCATAGGATCTGCTTGGGCACCCGCTGGAGTTGCGCCTTCATGGCGCCCAATATAGAGCCCTACCAACCTGACCCCCCTCAGTTCCTTCTTACCGCCTGTGACGTCTAGCTGGAACTCCCCGTTGCTCTTGCCTCGGCAAGCGCATGTTAGCAGTGTTCATATATATAGTTAGTGTTAGATAGTGTAGTAGGTTTTTTTTTCATTCGGGGGGTCCCACCCCTCCCCTTTGTTTTTCCCTAGGACCGGGTTATGCCTCGGTCTCCTGGTTTTAAACCGTGCTTGGACTGTGGCAGGTTTATGCTGAAAAGTAACCCACACACTTCGTGCTTGAAGTGTCTCGGCGAGGGGAATCTTAGAGACAGGTACAAAATCTGTAGAAGTTTTTGCCTCAGGACTCTTAAAGACAGGGAGCAGCGCCTCCAAGTATTGTTTATGGAGGCAGCACTTCGGCCTCAGTCAGAGCCGGGCATGGCGGATCCGACTTCAAGTGCCGCATCCTCAGCGTGCAGTGCTCCGGCACCATCCATGCATGAGCTGCTGCCAAGGAAGGACTCTGCTAGAGACCCTCGGCACTGCCATGGCTCCGC